TCTTCAAAGTACTCTTTTTCAAAGGCATATATATATGGGGCGGGGGGATAGAGGGTAGTTTTTCATGTCTAAAAATTCTTGAAATCCACCAAAGTCTGTAACAGCTTTAAGAAACGGGTACCCTCATTATTTAGAACTGGCTTATTGCAGGTTACAATTACTACTGGGGCAAGCAACATGGAGGTGAATTGCTCTCCAAAATATTTTAAAGTCCTTAACCATGTCTAAAGAATGTTCTCCCAATTTGGGGTTCATAGTTGATAAGTGGACCTGCTGCAGCTCTATAAAATGTTTGGGCTCATGCATATAACTAAGCTTCATTCTTCAGATTTTCAAGGTGGAGTTCAGTCTTGGGAAATGAAACTGCCAGCAAAAAGCTTAGGATTTAAACTCATGATTTTGTTGAGTACATGCTTGATGCAAGTTTCAGTAACAAATGAAAAATATTTGTTCCCATGCTATAACTAAAGCTTTCTGATAATTATATTGGAGTAGAGCCTCATCTATGATACTGGGCAGAGTTCTTTGCATTTGTGTACTCTGAGAGCTAAATTACCACTAATTCTGTTTCATCTTTTGCAACCTTATTTAATCTTCATTTAGATATCTGAGTGTCTATTATGGCCAGGTGAACTACACAGACTTTGTCCCTGACCTCACAGAGCTTGAAGTCTAACTAGGGAAACAAACAACTGTAACACAGAAAAATAAAAATCTGGATAATCAAAAGTTCAAGAATTTATAGAAACACATTGCCAAGACACACACCCCAGTCTGGGAAGGTCAGGGAAGGCTTCCTGGAAGAAATGGCCTCTCAACTCAGATCTGAAGGAAGAAGAAGGAGAGGGCAAGTTGGGATGGAGTAATTTAAGGCAAAAGGAGTAGTATGCGCAAAGGCCTTAAGGACCAAAGGAGGATGCGATTTGTATGTGTGAGAACAAAAGAAAAGTCAGCCTACCTGAAATGAGGAAAGGTGGGCTCTTTATGATGATATCTGGATTTTGCCCCAGGATAAAGAGATCAGAGAGTGACATGCTCAGTTTGTGTTTTGTAAGGACCCCACTTACAATTGCTGAAACTTAGAAACCGAAAAGATAAGGATTTCTTACACTCAGCAGAAAAATGATCAGATCATCCCTATACCCAAGGGTAAATGTGTAAGAGTCTTCTTTTAATTGACTTTCCATAGCACCAGTGAGATGCTACCATCTGACCCAGGAAAGTAGAGTGGCTATGAACTCAGCCTATGTAGAGAGGTGAGCTGCACTCAAATTCTAGTTCTACCTCATTCTAGCAAATCACTTAACTTTGGGCAAGTCGCTTAAAACCTGTGTGTCTCAAAGTGAAGTTAATTGCAGCTACTTCATAAGGTTGCTATGAAAATTAAATGAATACTATATATAAAGAACAGTGGCTGTCACAATGTCAATCTTAATTATTATCGTCAAAAGTATACCAGTCAACTGTGAGCATTAAGCACCAGTACTCTGGACTATATATAACATTTCAAACCATATAAATATAAATGCTTCTCTTTAGCTGCCATCTAATTTCTTTAGGCAAGGCAGCTTAAACAAATAGATCTTTAATAGTTTTCTATTTATCAGTTTTCTGTTTGAATATTTAAAATTTTTAAATGAGATGCTAATATACAGTTGTACAAAATAAAGCTTTATTTCAAAATCTTTGGGCCTTATATCCTATTTGGACAAAGATCTGCTGTCCTGAGTGAAATTTCTAGGATAATTTATTTGCGGATAAGCTTCAGGCACAGAGCATACTTAGAAATCAGACTGCCTAACTACATTCTGTGGTTATGAATCCAAAGGAATTTGAGAAAATCCATTCATTTAATAATTGAATTATAGAAAATTAAAGCAAGAAGCTTTTAAACCTAAATATAGACACCAGGAGGGCCGAAGAACCAGTTGTGGATTCACCACTAAACATATCGCGCAGCCTTCTTGTCGTCTCCATCCATAGCAAATGCTAAATCACTTTCAGAAATCGAAAAGATTACACATTTTACAATAGGACACAGACTACAAGTCAAGATATAATGCCAAAGGTCAATTAATTGCATGCTAAAAATATTTGTGTCACAATTAACACTGCAGACGGGATATTAAAATCTTTGCAAAGCTGATTGTTTCAGGGTCGCCAAGACCACTTCCAGTTCTCTGATTCACCAGAAGACTCGCAGGACCCCGCATACAGTTGCATGTGTGGCTATGATGTGTTATAGCAAAAAAAACAAAAGCAAAATCAACAAAGGAATAAGCCTCATGGAGCCAAGTGCAGAGGAGACTAGGAGTGAGCTGCCGAGGTCCTTTCTTTCCCAGTGGAGTCACACAAGCCAGGCTCAACTACCGGCAGTGAGCTGTGACACCTGTGACATGCTGTCTGCCAGGAAAGCTCATTAGTGACTCAGTGCCTGGGGGTTTTTACTGGGGCTGGTCACATAGACACCTACTGCCCGGCAAGTACCCAAATTCCTCCTGGAACGCAAGCAGGTATTCAACACGAACCATATTGCACAAACAGTTCTGGCACAGTGAGCCATTATAGTGGGAACCCCTTCCAAACCTAGGTTCCCAGACACCAGCCAAGGGCCAGCCAACCTTGCAAGCGGGTCTTTCTAAGGAGAGCAGTCTCAGGCCTTCTGTGATACCTCATCTTTGTAGACTGTCCTATTTCAATTAGCTATAAGACAAATTATAGGAGAAAGGCCTTACGTAGGTACATCATGAGCCTGAGAAGCATTTTTATCCAGTGTGTTTTCAGTATTTAAAATGTAGCATTTTTAATAAGGAAAAACGTTTTAAATTATATAATAGAAGATCTAAGATGGCCTTTAGTAGTCCTCTTGCATAATAAAAACAACTGAATTCTAGTCCTGTTTAGTTTTCTGAGCATTTTTTTTTTCTTTTAAAAAAATACCACTGAAAATTCTCAAGCAATAGTATTTTTATATTGAAACTACTCGTAAGACACCATTTAACCTACCAGGTTGGAAAAAAATCCAGACCCTGATAACAGTTAATTCCAAGCAATGGTGAAAATAAGAAACCTTTCCAACTGGGATGCAATTTGACAACATCTATCAAAATTATACACACATCTTATTGTGTATATTCTGAATAGATCTGAAATTCTATTTTGCAAATTTATACAGATATAACTGCCTCCATGCAGAATAACCCATATACAAAGTTATTTACTGCAGCATTGTTTAAGAGTAAAGGATTGGCCACAACCCAAATGTCTATCAATAGGTCACTATTTAAATTGTGGTACATCCATACAATGGACTACTCTGTAACTGTTGAGAAAAAAAAAAATGAAGAAGCTCTTAGTACTGACATGTTAAACTCTCCTATATATACTAGAAAAAAAAAAAACATACATTATAGAGAAGTATAGTTGGCTATCTTTTACTTTACAAAGGGGCAAATATGAATTTGCTTGTCTGTGCACACAGAAACCAGGAGGATGCATTAGACATTGACCAGAGATGCTGGGATGGGATGGTGCAGGCAGAATTTGGGCAGAAGCTGTGAACTTGAACAAAATGTATCAAAATGGTACCCTTGCAAAATATTCCCTCTTTCTTTTCTAGACCCAAGTTATATCAACTGGGCATCTTTTTGGTTGGTTGTTTTCATAAGTTTCTATTGTGCTGCAGTGATGAAAACAGCATAAGATTGCTTCTATCATATTTTCCAAATCAGGTTCCCACAATCTTCTTTTCGTCTTGGGTCTGTCTGCCATCTTGAAGGGGGTTTCCCCAGGACACCTCAGAGTGAGTCAAGTTCTCTGCACCTCCCTTCTCCCATCCGTTTGCTGAGAATATTTGGGAGGTTTTTTTTTTGAAGCTCTAAGAAAGCAGGGACTTTGTTTTGTTCTCTGCCTTGTTTGCAAAACTGAAAAAAGTGTCTGGCACACACAAATTGTTCAGTAAGTATTTGTTGAATAAATGAAGTCTTTTCTTTACCCAGCTTCAATGGGACAGACACTGCCAGACGAAGGGAGATATATCATCGAGGACAAATATTCAGAAATAGTTGTCATTCCCAGTATCGGCCCAATAAAGGCATTCAAAACTTAGCAACATTCCTAGAATTATTTTGAATTTTACAAGAGACAAACAAATAAGCCTATAGAATGCTGTGCTGAACAGCGACTCTTAAATATTCAAAAAATTTATTTTTAATTAATTTGGGATTACATGGCCCTAGAATCCATTTTAGGGCTGAAGTCTGGGCAAACACCTCACTAATTAGCAATAAGAAAAAAGGCTATCATGGGAATCAAATGAGTCCCAGGTGTAAGGTGCCCATAGATGTAGAGAAGAGAGAGAAAATATTTTGCATTTGCTACTGTTATTTTCAAAAATAAAATTATCAGTGAAATTAAGTTCAAATTGGTATAGACAATGAACTGACCGGCACAAAATCAATCACAAAAGACAAAACCTCCCTGCTCCCAGGCAGGTATGGAGTGGGCGTAACTACCCTCTGCCCCGCTTTATCTTTGGTTTACATAACTACAAAAGGACAACTTGGCTAGCAATAATTGCAGCAACACTGCTTAATAGGTGCGCAGCTGATGGATGTTTCTCTGAAGATTTTTAATGCCACAAACTTTTCTTAATGCACGGCTGAGGCAGTTTCTGCATGCTGTCTCTGCAGTCATGGAAAAAGGTTAGGAAATTTTGGTGTCATGTCAATTTTTCTTGCTGGCATTTAAGACAACATCCAAAGAGTGAGGAAACATCCATTCACCTGAAACAGCTTGAAATCTAACACTCTCCTGAGAATAAAATAGAAATTCCTGTGGAGTTTATGAAATAAATGTCTTAAATGGAAAAGAGAAGCTAGCAGAGACGTTGCAGGACAACTGGGAGGCAGCCAAGCTCCTGCTGATGCCAATTATAGTTCTGACATAGCGCCAGGAAGCACCAAACCCCCTGCGTGCAGACGGCCCACAGGGACTCCCACCTTGGTCCTTAGAGCAGTCAACACTCCCGGTCTCGTGGCAGATCCTTTCTGTGAAGAGTGATATGGGGCAGAGGACGACAGCTCTAAAAGGTTTAAAAAAAAGAGAGGTTAAAGGATGATGCTTTGTTGTTACGTTTTGTTGGTTTCCTGAGAGTGGAGGTGAAATGAAGAGTTCTCTGATACTATGCCCAGGAAAATGCTGGCTCTAACAGGTACCAGCATCTCAGGAGGAAAAAAGCAACTTGGCCATCCTTTCCATGAACATTTACTTAATAACTGACTCACTCTGTTCAGAGGGGGTGCAGTGCAGACAGATTCCCATCCCTTGTGATGCCTGCATTCTAACACAGGAACAAACTAACAGATAAATAAGAAGACTGTGATAAATGTCACTCGGATAAGTAAGTCAACATTAGAGCAAGGCTGATGGGGCTGAGTTAGAGCAGGCGGTCAAGGAGTCTCTCTAAGGGAATGATATTTAAGTTAAGACTTAATAATAATGGGGCAGGGCAGCCAGGTAGGTTTAAAAACAGCACTCCAGGCTAAGGGAGCTGCTGCTACAAACACCCTCAGGCAAGAATGAACCCGGTGGGTTTAAAGAACAAAAAAGCAAGCACTACTGGAGCACTTTGATATAGGAGTAAAAAAGTGCAGAAGAAGGCAGAGGCCAGGTGACCAAGTGCTTTGCAAGCCAAGGAGAGGGACTGCCTACATACAGGGCAAACCAAGTGTTACGGAAACTGCCTGTGGTGCAGTATACGGTCAGACGCTGTCAAACAAAATGACAGACGATTCCCTCTGAAATATACACAGTTGCGGTGATCTTTTAATGGATTTTTAAAATAGACTTTATTTTTTAGAGCCATTTTAGATTCACAGCGAAATGAGCAGAAAGTACAGAGATTTCCCATATTCCCCCTGCCCCGACACATGCGTAGTCTTCTCCATTACCAACATCTCCCCACAGAAAGGTACATGTGTTATCATCGAGGAACCTACGCTGACGCATTATTACCCAGTCTCACGCAGTTTATATTAGGGTGCACTCTTGGTGTGTACATTCCATGGGGTTGGACAGGTTTATAATGACAGGTACCTGTCACTATAGTATCATAGAGAACAGTTTCATTGCCCTAAAAATCCTCTGTGCTCTACCTATTTATCCCTCCCGCTCCCTTTTAATGGCTTTAAGCAGCTGAAATTTGGCTTGTGGGTGGAAGTGAACGTAAGCCACTGTCCGGAGGTCTAGAGTTTATAAAATCACAATATGAATATCCTAAGAGTACATGCTGAGATCTACTACTGAACTGTAGTTTGATGCGTGCGGATTGCCCTAAAAATCCTCTGTGCTCTACCTATTTATCCCTCCCGCTCCCTTTTAATGGCTTTAAGCAGCTGAAATTTGGCTTGTGGGTGGAAGTGAACGTAAGCCACTGTCCGGAGGTCTAGAGTTTATAAAATCACAATATGAATATCCTAAGAGTACATGCTGAGATCTATTACTGAACTGTAGTTTGATGCGCGCAGGTGCACACACGCGCGCACACACACACACACACGCACAACTGGTTAACAAATTTCATTAAATATATGTTTAACAATTACAGGATCTATACCCTTCTGCAACCAGAAACTGATTTTCAATTGAGCTTCTACTTTCACCAAATAATACTCAACCATTAGAAGAGACTTGAGAAATAATGTGTCACTCCTAGGTATATACCTCCCCAAAATGAAAACATTCGTCCACACAAAAACCTGTATGCAAATATTCATTGTAGCACTATTCATATTAGCCAAAAAGTGGAAAGAGTCCAAATGTGCATCAACTGCTGAATGGATAAACAAAATGTGGGGTATCTGTAAGTAAAATATTTGGCAATAAAAAGGAATGGAACAGTGACACATGCGACAACGCGGGTGAACCCTGACAACATTATGCTCTAAATGAAAGACGCCTTTATAAAGTTGAGTTAAGTTAGCTTAGATAAATACCTGCTAAATCAAGTAAGAACTGGGCTAACAGAGATTTCTCAAGGAGATGCATCCCAAAGGTCCAGTGCTTTTCAAGTACCTACACAGAGCCATATACAGAAACAAGCAAAGACTGTCACACTGGTAGAAGCTGAAAGTTAAAATAGCTCAAAAACAGTAACATTTTATTTCTTAGGTAGCAAGCACAAGTCAAATTACAGAAGAGATAGCTGCTCTTGGGCTATAACTTAAGTCTATGACGATTATAATCATTTGCAGCACAGTATTAATAATACTAATAATGTAGCCAGCTCACAAACTTCAATCAAATACAAAGCTAAACATGGTGCTTTTCATCTAGTCAAACTTAAAATGTGTGCCCTTGCCAAAACAAAGAATGAAAACAAAACAAAACAAAACCAGGGTACATGGTAGAATGCAAATTCATATTTACTGGTCCAAAAACTCTTTGTGTATATATCCTAATTTTGTGTCATGTTAAGAAAGGACCCATTTTAAAAACTGTCAACAGAAGTTCATGATTTAATCTGAAGAATATGTACCATGCATGACTTCAAAAAGGAATAAAGTAAATGATATAACTTAAAAATACGACTATGAGAAGAGCATTGTAGAATCAGAGCCTGGTAAGTAAAGATCAGGAGTCCTGATCACAAGAGGGAGGGGTAATCTTGTTCCACCTGCTCTTGATAGGGAATCAGGGCTGTCAGCATGGATTCTGAAACTCAATGTCACACTTAGCACCTATGTGACTTCAGGCACACCACTTAACCCCCTTGTGCCTCGGTTTTCTCATCTATAAATAGGGGTAACTACAGTACTAACTTCTGAGGATCCTCAAGAGGATTGAAGGATATAATATTTATAGAAAGCTTAAAAATAGCACCTTGTATATAGTATGCATTATCCATATCTGTTAAATGACTAAAATAGAGACAAAGAGAGCAGGGATAATAGAGTATATTAGTTAAGTCTTACAAAATGACTATTTGGCTCTCAACAACTTTGTAGCAAGAATAAGAGAGAGAAGAAACCAATTTTCTAAACACAGAGGGTGTGTATGTATCTCCATATCTATGTGTTTGGAGAAAGGGGAACAGAAAACCATGTTTTGTACCCCAGAGAGAAAACGCTTTTCTTGACACTTAGCTCTAATATGGTCACTTCAGGTCTGCACACAAGAGGCAATAAGCAAGAGCACAGACCAGGCAGACCACTGTGTGATGTCATAGGACAGTTTTTCATTGTGTCCCTCAATAAATTCCAAAGCATAACTCTCTAGCGTATCTTTGGGAGGAAGCCAAGGCAACGCGATATAAACAAGCAGCTCGGATGGTCTGGCTCGCTTGAGGGACACGACTGCTCCAGACACCCATCCTGTACTTCCATTTCCCTCAGCCATGCGTCTGATAAGGGCCGAGGAGAGACAGTTCTAAATTTGTGGAACAAATTCTCTAACATCAGGACATGGCCAAAATGCAGCCACATAAAAACACTAAGCAAACCCGATGCATTGAAAAGAAACTTCCCCCAGAAGTATCTGTTTTTAAGTCTAATGGACTTGAGAGTCATTGTCTGGCAAAAGAACAGCCATAATCATCTTGGGGGATTAAACAATTTAGAAGAATATTCCTATTTGTCACAGTCATCTCAGGCTCTACTTAACAGTTAAGTGTGGAGCTTTTCCAAATTACGAAAGCTATTGTGGTTAAGGCACATTTTATTCTAATTTGGAAAACAGATGGATTTTTATTTTTAAAGACTAGTTATTAGAGAGCAAATCTTAGCTAAAAAGAGACCTTTGCTTCTTCGGATGTTCTCGTACCGTACATGGAAGATATAATGCAGCTGAACTTCATGGCTATTTCACAGGTCTCTGGATAAGCTAATGTCCCAGAGATTTGTCATCTCTTTCATTCCAACAGGGAAAGCATGCTGTTCTTAAGGCTAATTTTTAAAGTTTTTCTTCAGATGAAACAGTGTTAATCTTAAAGTTGTAAACTGTAGCAATATATTTTCATTTTAATACTTGTGGGGTATTACTATAGCTGCCAAAAGAGAGTGGAAATATATTTCTTTACTTGCAGTCCACAGGCACTAAATGTAGCATTCTACAAGAAAGAAGAGTAAAGGATGGTGTGTATAATTAACCCCTAAGCATCTTGGACAAACATCACTTTCATGTTTAAAGAAGCCTCTCTTAACTCTTCCAGACTGGATTAGAGCCCCCTTCGACTGCTCCACATTACTTCATACTTTTTCTCCATTGTAACAGTTTGCTAATTATAATTATTTAATCAACTATTGGTAAAGATGAACTGATATCTTTTCTGTCAGACAGTACACCCCATGAGGGAAGGGACCATTTTTGTTACTTTTTCTGCTGTCTTCCTATACACAGAAGTTTTCTTCCCCACTGACTTCCTCTTTATAAGATAGCCAGCTGTGTTCCTAAAAGCCCATGTAGCTCCTTGCAAGTGAGATAAAGGCACTGAAGTAATCTTACATAGAGGGAAAAGGGAAGTACTTTATAATATTATAAAACCCACAATTTCGAAGCCTTGAAGATTTTTTCAGCAGCAGAGTCCTTGGATGTACATATGGCAGATGTGAATGAGGAGGAAGGAGAAGAGGAGCAGGGGAAAATGACCCACTAGTTTAGATGGCTGCTTTAAGAGTAAAACTGTATCATGAGAACTCGAACGGTGCTTTCTAATTATAGACTTGTAAATTTAAACTATCTTGAAAGATCACTCTGTACTTTCCTCTAATACAGGCTGCATTAAAAATATCTCAGAAATAGGATTTTTCTTTAAGCCCACATAGGATGGTTGAACAACAGATTAAAAAGCCCTGTGTCTGGCAACCTCTGCTTTCTACAGTTTTTCTGTGAGGTCTTCCATAAAGAAACAATTGCCAATCAGGTTCTTTCCTTCATGCCACAAAGTTCTTATTGTTACATCTGAACTCCTGAAACTCCTTAGAGTAAAAGTCATAAGAAATGACAAGAAGGTCACATAGTATAACAGTAAAACCTAAATAATTATTTAATTTTATAAAATGCTTTCAGACCTTCAGTGACAAAAAG